TCTCTCTCTCTCTCTCTCACTCTCCTCTCTCTCTCTCTCTCTCTCACACACACACACACACACACGAACTGTTATTTTATTTTGTTTGAAAAGTTAGGCTTAGTGTTTGAAGATTATCTTATTAGTTTTTAGTTTGGTTGGTTGGTTGATTGATTGAGTTTTTTGTTTGTTTGGTAGAAAAAAATTTACTACCACCTAGGGTGAGAGAGCGTCAACACTGAATGCTGGAACACTGAATTGGACCCTATGATCAAGAGTAAACATATCCTGGGGCACCTGGGTGGCTCAGTCGTTAAGCGTCTGCCTTCGGCTCAGGTCGTGATCCCAGGGTCCTGGGATTGAGCCCCGCATCAGGCTCCCTGCTCAGCGGGAAGCCTGCTTCTCCCTCTCCCACTCCCCCTGCTTGTGTTCCCTCTCTCGCTATGTCTCTTTCTGTCAAATAAATAAATAAAATATTAAAAAAAAAAAGAGTAAACATATCCTAAACTCATTTCATATGTAAATTCTATATTTTTGTTTCTTAAACTGCATTCCATTTTACTTACCAATGCAGAAATGGGAGGTTTTAGTTTCTTTATTTCCTTCAACCAATATACCAATATACTTAAAAGAGTATAGTAGTTTCCTCCATTTTTATCTGTCCCACGCTTCTCTTAAACACATATAATTGGTCCTCCCCACACTCCTTCCCTGTTCTAAAATTGCTGTCTGAGGTCCTTAGTGACCTCTGCATTTCCATTTCCGAAGACCTTCTCTCAATTTTCACTCAACATTTTCACTGCATTGGACTCTGCTGGACACACCTTCTTGGGATTCTCTCTTCTCTTGGTTCCTATTCTGGTTTTTCTCAATGCTTATCAAGGCTGGTTTTCACTGGATCAACTTTCTCCTCCTATCTTCTATATACAGATATCTCCCAGAACAAGATCTTAGTCTTTCTGACCTTTTATCTTCATCAGAAATCTCATTCACCTTCCTAGCTTCAGCAATCACCTTTTCATAAATGACTCCCAAATTTTCATAAATGACTCCCAAATTTCAAACATTTGAAATTTAAAAATTACTCCTAAAGAGTATTTCCCAAAATATATGTAACAATAGTAGAAAGGAGATATTACTCCTTTATCAATTTAATAAGTATTAAAATGATTCTTACTAGATATCTTTAATTGAATTCCCCTTCCAGACCCTTATGATCGAAACTGAATCCATCATCTTTCTCCAAAACCCATCTTCCCCTTTGGATACCCCCCTTTCTGTTATTTCTTCCCATCTCAGTGATGATTTTCTCATCTGAATTTGTAAAGCACATACTAACTGTACCACCCATTTAATTCTGAGCATATGCTGCTTTGTGTTATTTATTTAATTCTTTCATTTTATTTCTTGTTACCATTTTATTGCTTGTTTACTTAAACACTAAATAGTTGGAGGGCAAGAACTGCATTTTCTCTGTCTCTATATTCCTGATTCTGATCCAGTGTTCAATAAATTATTTTTATTGTTAAGATGTTTCAACTAAGTTGCTAATATTTTATATATCTCTTTCATTGTTGAAAGGTTGACAGATTTTGATAAAAAGTAGTAGTTACAAAGATTTAATTGTGTTCAGACTACCATCTTGAGACAAAATGGCAGCTAATAAATTTACTTGTAGGAGAATTTCTGTAACATTATTAACAGTGGATTTTTTTTTTGAAGATTTTATGTATTTATTTTAGAGACAGAACATGCACATGTGGGGGGGAGTGGGGAGGGGCAAAGGGAGAGGGAGAGAGAATCTCAAGCAGACTCTGTTGCTGAGTATGGAGCCCCACATAGGGCTTGATCTCATGACTCTGAGATCATGATCTGAGCCGAAAAAGAGTCAGTTGCTTAACCGACTAAGCCACCCAGGCACCCCAAACAGTGGATTCTGTACAATTTTATACATGCTTACACTGAATGTGTCCTGTTATTCATAACCTCTGGTAGAGGGAAGCTACAAAAAATTTATGAGGCAAGCTGAAGGGTCTAGAGTTAGGTTAGGTTAAATAGACAGCCAAATGAGAGGTAAGGCTGAACTAAGAATTGGACACTGGACTTCTACAACTTATTTGGAAAAATACTGACATCAGGGGATCTGCATTTTCTTATTTTTTCTTGACCAAATTATGGGATAGTTTTTCCAGTGTCAAAGGAGGCTAAGGAAGATCTGAGAAATGGTTTCTGCTCTTACCTTGTGTTTTGTGCCATTAGTTTACCAAGAGTAACCTCTACCTTAAACTCCTATTTCTCTCAGGAGTAGGTTTATAGATTCTTAGAATTAATGAGCTGGAAAAGACTTGGCCATCTAGTTCAAATCCCTTGTTTACAGATATGCAACCCCTGGGTCTTATCTCTGAAGCCTCAATTTGGTACTAGTCCTAGAGTTTGGGTAATTCCATCCAAATGAAAATATTGCTGTTATATTAAAAATAACATTTAAATTTTATTTATTTATTTATTTTTAAAGATTTTATTTATTTTTTGACAGAGAGAGAGAGAGACAGAGAGAGAGGGAACACAAGCAGGGGGAGTAGGAGAGGGAAAATCAGGCCTCCCAAGGAGCAGGGAGCCTGATGCGGGGCTTGATCCCAGGACCCTGGGATCATGACCTGAGCCAAAGGCAGACACTTAACTACTGAGCCATCCAGGTACCCCAACATTCTAAATTTTAAATGCTTTGTTTGTGTTTAATGGATTTTTCCACAAAAAAAGTAGATTCACTTCTCACTTTTCAGATACTTAACATTTGAAATTTAAAAATTACTCCTAAAGAGTATTTCCCAAAATATATGTAACAATAGTAGAAAGGAGATATTACTCCCTTTCTCCTGTCCACTTTTCCCTCTACCCCAAATCCACTGTATATAAGCATTTATGCATTGCCTCTGCGATAAGATAATTCTGCCATTCTTAAGGCTGGAAAACTCAGCTCAGTTAAGTCTTATTGGTTTTAAGTTTTCTGCTCTGTTGTAGAATAGCCTATATTTCAAGTTTTCCATTGTTTTCACTTTAATTTTTCAGTTGCCCACTATCTGTATAAAACAGAATTGGCACTGAGAGGAAAGTACCAAGTGATTCAAATATTGACTATTATATTCATTTTTAGTATGACTTTAAGCAAATCACATACTTGTCCACTTAGTCACCTACAGTGGATGAAATAGCAAATTACACAAGTTTATCTGAAAAGTTCTTCTCTGGAGAAAGAGACTTAGGAAATACAAACTCTCTCTTTATTGAAGAGCTCAGCTCTTCCCAGGAAGATCTGAGCAAATGGTGAGCAAACCCAATACTACTTCAGCACACCTCTCTCACAGTCTTGTTTTAAAAGCCCTGTTTTATTTGAACACTGTGTTCCTGAGTCAAAAGAGTACTTCAGAAAAATCTGTCTTCCTGGGGGCAAAGCAATCTCACACAGTCACACTCCCAGAAAGACAGATACTGCTGAACACTGGACAAAAGATGTTGTGGGTTTTTTTTTTTTTTTCCCTCCAGCAAAAATTACTCAAATTGCTTGAGAAAAAGACACAATATGATGTTTATCCCTGTTTACAGATGTTTAACCAGTGCCCCTTCAGAGGGTCATGTGCCTACGAACAGCATCGTAGTAATTATATCCATTGCTGCAAAGAACAGATGTGTAAATTGGTGGTTTCTTGGGGGAAAATAATACCAAGTCCACTTTCCAGAAATGTACACAGTGCAGTGCAGCTGTAATATTCTGTATGGAGGTCTCTTTAGTGTCTGTAACTGAATGTGCCTACATTTAAAGAGTATGAAAGTTCAGTTGCGCATCTAACAGGGAAGTCCAGGGTTATCCAGAAAATAATTCAGATTGTTTGGTGTGTTTAAAAATTCCTAGTGATATTGGACAAATTTCCATATCCAGAGAAGGTAATAACAAATCTTTGATTCTAAAGTTTTCAATCAAGAAATATGTATCAAGTAGAAAGTGGAATTAGGAAACCTCTGTGCATTTAAGATATAAAAACCAGATTTCAGTGAAACCAGATTGCATCAAAGTGATCATACTTTTGACCTGTGAACACCAGAATATTCCTAAACTCACCACTGCAGGGGCTGGCAAGGATTGGGGGTCCCTAGATCCTCCCCTGACAGCTAGAATCCAATAATTCCTTATTTTAAAAGCCTATGTTACCTTGGATATAAGAAGAATTAGATGAAATTATTTCTACTATTGAATTTATTGTATTGAAAATACTAGCTTTCCCTGAGGATATATATTTATGTGAATATATGGAAATCAGTGTGACCCCTAAAAATTAAAACAAAACACGAAGTGAACAAGGTAAGCTTATTGTTGTGGAATAGCTTATTGAACAGGCCTGTTATCACAGATATGGATATCACTATAAGCTTCACTACCTTCTTTCTGTATAAATTCTCTTCCTCTTAAACTGTGTCAAATTTCGTGTGTAGAATGTTATACAGTGATTCAGTGTGTGCCTAAAGGATGCGATTTCTCCTGGACCCAGGCTATCTGTACCTTCACATGTTCCAAAACTTTGCAGAAGATCAGTATGTATCCTATAACTTAGTAAATGTGCTAAAACATCGTTAATTTGTACGTACATTACAAACTATAATAAGCAATGACATTATGCCTGACTTGGGAATTTTGCTTCTGGGGCAGAAGCATAATCTTTTATCAGGCTATGCTTTTCTGCATTCGTGATTCCATACAAACTACCCATCAGCACCAAACCATGGTTCTATGATTGAAATGTAACAGAGGAACAATCTAGTCTGCTAATCTGGATCATTCAGGCCCAGAACGGAAGGATTATAAAGAGACCTGCCAATTGGCTTAGGCCAAAGCATGCCTTTTGACACTAATGATCTAATTCAGTTATCTACTTTGTTCCAAATTCAGCCTTCTCATTCTCTGTGGCCTTGGGGACTCAAACAAAAACACAGGAGATGATGAAGGCTAACCCAGCTCTGCCACTCACCTCTAGGCCTCAGTTCCCATGGCTGTGAAATGACATGGTTTGATGACCTCTTCTAGACTTCCGTGTTCATTGTGTCTGCACATACTGGAATTTAGAATAGAAATTCTTGGTCATATGTGTGGGTTAGTGCAAACTGTCTCTAAAATCAGGAGGCAATGGCATAGGAATAGAAAATTCTCACTGTTGCTTAATACAGACATTTCAAGAAAATCAAGGAAGCTATTTCCAAACCGGAGTGTGGGTCAGATTATAGCCCTTATTGTGGTCTAAGCCCATGAGGGTACTTATTAAAATGCATTTCATGTGCTCCACAGCTAGCTCTATACCATACTCCCTCAGTGAGCATCATGGGAGATGGGGCCATGAATCTGACTTACACAAGCACTCCTGGTGGTAAATATGCATGCTGAGGTTTAGAAACCCCTAGTCCCAATGCAAGAGCACTTTTTCTGCTAACCTGAAGTTTACCTGGGAGCAAAATCACTTAATTTGCCCTAAACCTCAATTTTGTAATAATGGAAACAGTATCAGGGCACCTGGGTGGCTCAGTTGGTTGAGTCTGACTCTTGGTTTCCACTCAGGTCATGATCTCATGGTTGCAGGACAGAGCCTTGTATTGGAATTTGGGCTTCCGCCTCAGCAGGGAGTCTGCTTCAGATTCTTTCTCCCTCTCCTCCTCCTCTGCCCTCCCCGCCAGGCTCACGAGTGCACGGGTGCGTGCTCTAGCTCTCTTTCTCTCAAATAAATAAATAAAATATTAAAAAAAAAAATGGAAACATTAGTCTTTCCCAATTTCCCAGAAAGTAAAAGTGTTAGTGTCTTAGTGGAACAGCCTTTTAGAAAACAGCTTCTTAGAAAAGCAAGCAATTTCCTAGTTACAAATGGGTTGTATTTCAAAAATACAATGTTAAACTTGAAATGTACAATGCTTTCCCCACAGAAATAACATAAAATCCTCTTAAGATTTCTAGACCTGTCTATAAAATTTAGGTTAAGCCAAATGTAGCTCAAATTCGGTACATTTGTAATGGAAGCACAGGAGAAAACAATGTTATTGGGTTTTGGAAGGTAATAGAACAGTTTTTTATATCTAATTTCATTTGAAAAAGGAAATACACAAACTTCCCTTTTCTGGGAAACAGTAGTAGGAATGAAAACTATGCAAAATTCTTGTTTATTAGGCAACTTTGGGTCATAATGGGATTCTCTCTCTCTCTTCTTTTTTTAGAGAGGGAGAGATGGGAAGGGTGGAGGGAGAAAGAGAGAATCATAAGCCAGCTCCAGGCCCAGCACAGAGCCTACACGTGGGGCTTAATCTCACAACCCTGAGATCATGACCTCAGCTGAGCCAGAAGCTTAACCGACTGAGCCACCCAGCACCCTCATAAAAGGATTCTCTTGAGGAATGAAAAGAGGGGTGGTTAAAAGGAAATTTCCAATGCTGACTGGATAAAAGTCAGGAGAAATACCATTGGGGGTGGGGTAAGGTCAGGACAGAGAGAAAATGGAGAGAAAGAGGAGTAAAGAGGAAATGAGTGGTTTATGTGAGCATGTGATGGCCTGAAGTGGAAGTGTAGGAGAGGTGAGTTGTTTAGGTCTAAGGAGAAAAACCTACTGGGTGCCTGTTTACCAACCCCAGACAGAAGAAAGGAACACCGGGTAAGAGATTTTGTCAATTACCTATATTTACCACCAGATGGCAAAATTGATCCAAGGCCTCTTGGGTACTGGTCAGTTTATAGAGAAGAGGGGAGATTATGTGGTATTATTGTGGCAATTCAATTATTTACTCCACAAATACTTATTGAGCGCTCACTATGTCCTATCAGCTATGCTAGGAACTGGTATTGAAATGGCCAACCAAAGTCCTTGCCCTCAATGAACTTACAGTTGGGTGGGGGGTTAAGCAAGCACAAGAGCGGCCCTAGAATATTAGTTAATATTCTTCTGCAGTGAGATACAGGCTTGCTCCTTTGACGACCTGCCTCAATGTCAGCCCAGACAAAACCAAAGATAGGCCAGGAATTCTTTCTCTCCACTCACTTATATGCCCACAGTGCCTCCTGAACTTCTACTCCAACCCGATTTCTTGGGTCTTTCAGAACCAAGTCTTCAGTCTTCCTTTAAACAAAGCTTACTCTCCTTTGGCTTTTCTCCATCAAAATATCCTGGTTAGGGTGACTGATATTAACCCGATTAACCAAAAAGAAGAGGTGTTACAGAACTCCTCAAACCTGGTGTCATTTGCATGTTAGGTGTTTTTTTGTTTGTTTGTTCCCTTTTTCCTTTTCTTTCCTACAATGCCGCAGTCTAGTAACATTTAATCTCCTGGGGGGTAATGGACACCTCTTACATTCTTAGTAAAGCTATGGACATTCAACAGAAAAATAATCATATAAACATAATTATATAAACAACCTACATCACATACTACTTCAGATTCAGGAACCCAACCTTAGAACACCCCAGACTTTTTTGAAAAATCATGCAATTCAAAGAACTGACAGAAACCATGGGAGTTTGTGGAACAGCATGACGGGGAGCAGCGGAGAGGGTTTAAGCAAACTTTTTCATCTTTCCGCAGGAGAGCTGGTTCTGCCGGGTCTCTCCGCACTCCGTTTCTCGCGGCACAGACGACTGTGCGCCTGGCCTCCCTTTCCCGAGTCGGGCGTCGTTGCTCAGCCTTTGTCCCCCGGCCCCCTCCCCCTGCACTTGGACTCGGGTTTCCGTCTCACTGCCCCGCTTCGCGTCTCCCTCTCCGTCCCCTTTGGGCGTTCCCTCCCGCCTCTCTTTAGGGTGACCTCATCCCTTTGTTTCTCCCCGGCTGCGCCGCCGGCTCCCCGGCCCCTCCCCGCGCCGCCGGCCCCTCCCCGCGCCGCCGGCCCCTCCCCGCGCCACCGCCCCGACTCTGGGCGGAGCTGCGGGAGCGGTGGGCGGGGCCTGGCCGCGGGGCGTTGCTCGCACCGCACAGCTCCTCTTGTAATCCTCACTTTCGGGTTTGACTACTTGTTTTCCGCAGCGCCGCGGAGTGCTGTTTTAACGAATCTCCGCCAGCTTCTGTTTGGGCGGTAACTGCTGCTTTCGGGGGCCCGGAGAACAAAAGCCTTGGGCCTGTCCACGGTGGAGGAGTACCAGGGGCACCGCGCGGGCTCCCTCCCTCGCCCTTCATTAGTCTGTTGGCCTTCACCCCTTGCTTGCAGGACCAGCAGCAGCCTGCTTGCAGGGACTGGGCCCTCAGTCATGTCAAGGTTACTCTGCGGGGCAGGGGGGGCGGAGGTGAGGGGGAAGGAAGAGAGTGAAAGCTGGGTCAAATGGAAGTCGCAGTCTTGTCCCTCCCAGTTTTCCTTGCCTGGAGGCTGCAAAAAGCACATTAGCATTCCTCGGGTTGTGCGCGCCTGTTTCTCCAGCACCAGAAAAGGAGGAAGGTTTCTGTTTGTCCGCAGGAAAAGACCTTTGGAAACTAAGCAGCAATGCCTTGTCATTAGAGTATAACAGTGAGAAAACCAGCTAGGTCAGAGCCAGAGACAATGATCCTTCATTATTAAAAAGAGAAAAAGAAAAGAAAAGAAAAGAAAAAAGTTTCCTAGGCTGCTTCATTTGAGCTTACCATTTCCCGCGATGAAATGCAGGCTCCTTAGACAATTGAGGGAAGGAAGGTGACTGAGGCAAAAGGGAAGAAATGAGATGACTTCTGGAGATGTGGCCGAATTTAGACTTGGTGTGAGATTTTCTCTTAACCTGGAAACATATGGTACCAGCATGTATTCGTTCGTTCATCCAATAATATTGTTAAAAAACGGTTAAGGAAGTCAATTTAGGTGTTACAAACAGACTTTAACACTTCATGAAGCCAGCAGTCTCTGGTCTCAAGGGTCCCAGGGAACTGCAAAATGGGGTGAAAGGAAGCTTTTATAGGATAAACAATGAGGAACAAGGAAATAAATACAGAGACCAGGGTTGGCTTGACATTTGGGGATGGGCTGACTGGATATACTGTGTTTCTGGTTAAGTGGAGCATTTACAGGGACATGAAAAGTAACTTTAAGTTTACTGACATGGTGCCAGGGGCAGGAGCACCTCCATCTTGGGCCTAGAAATTTACTTCAAAAATATGTATTGAACATTGAGCACTTACTCTGTGATGGACTTTGTCTCTGGCTGTAAGTGACTTCAGGTCCACTTGAGGGCATATCTCTGAGGAAGAGGAGGGGAGAGCCAGGGTGTGGCCTTAGCTACTCTAGGGTCTGGATGCCCCCATGCCACTCCCCGCCACCCCCCCTCCCCCGCCCCAATGAGAGACTGTGAAGGGACCTGGAGAGTAGAGGAGCTGGAGAGGAAGACCAGCCACACTTGTAAGTGATGTGGGTAAGAAGTTGATGGGGCTTAGAGCTTTCTCTCTCTTTTTCTGACCTCTTTTTCTTAAGTAGGTTAAAACCAACTGTGGCAAAGAATGAGTGATTTGCATCTCCTCTTTATTTTTAGCAGTCTTGGTTTTTCCCCCCAACTAGGACAGTAAATCTCATTCGGATTTTCCACACAGACTGACAGTGAGGCCTTAAGAATTGTAAAGTAAGGTGTTCTTTAGAATAGCTTCAGTCTCTCAGATCAAGGCTTTGGGGAAGGTGGGGAAGAGGCAGCTTTTGGCTGACTGAGGAATGATGTGCTCCTGCATTCTGAAAGGGTTGAAATTAGGCGCCAGAAGGAAGGTGGTGTCTGCCTTCCTGATGAGGTGGGTCATTACTAGTTCATAGAAGCACCTGAGCAAAGTCATCCTGAACTGTGCAGATTCAAGAGTCTTAGTGCATGGGAGGCTGGTCAGTGGAAAAATCCTGTGCTCCCTCAGTTTGGTGATCCCCTTTGGAGATTGGCACATTTTGAGAATGATCTTAGTCTCATGAATGTTCAATGTATATAACTAATTTTAGAAGGTAAGTGACTGTGTGGGGGAGACCCTGTCCATTCCAGGTGGTAGGATTGGATGACAGTCAACTTCTCTGAGGCTTTCTTTTCTAGGGAAATAGGGAAATGGAACATATATACGTTTGCACACAACTAGGACTCTGATACTTAGAATGTTTGAGTCTTAGGTCTCCTAGTCAACTCCCTTCATGTAGAGACACAGAAACTGAGACCCAGGGAAGTGAAGGGACTTCCATGAGGTTGCAAATTTGGGATGTATCCTGTTTCTAGCCCTGCTCTCCTGATGGCTAGTCCACAGCTTCTGCTACTTTACCTGCAGCTTCTTATTTCTCTGTGCTTTATAAGAGAAGAGAAGCACCTCTGAAATCATATTTTTGTGTAAAGAAATATTCAAAAGGAACTGTGGATTTCCTAGGATGGGTCTGTTTGGGTGTTGTAGGCCACATTGTGATGTGCAGAAGGTTTGTGGAAATGCAGATCCTGATTAGTAGATCTGGGGCGGGAGGAGAGTGCATTGCCACCCAGCTCTTGGTACGGATGCTGCTGATCTGAGTGCTGAGCTGCCGAACTGTGAACAGCATTTCCTCTTCATCTTTTCTTTCTCACTGATAGAACAGCCCTGGGGATTTAAGGAGCCCCCCTTTTTCCCCTGTTACCAGGTCACTGTGTTCCTTCAGCTAATCTAGATGCCTTTCACTCCGTTGTCCTCACTCAGACCCGAGACTGTTGGAAACAGTCCCTGGAGACAGGTAGCTTGAGCTGGAGGGTGTGATCTTTTGTCTGGTGACTTAGCACCATCTAACTTGGTTCCACAAAAGCTTTCGCACATAAGCAACTTACTCAATTCTGATGGTTAAAAAAAAAAAAAAAAAAGTCGTTTTTTCTCTCCCACGAGTGTCCTCCCAGCTGCAGCTCACGTCTCTCCTTCTGGGACTACAGCTGTTCTGCGGCTCACTCACAGCCGCGGCCCTCACCCGGGGGCTCAGCCATTCTCCAGGCATTTTTCCCACCACTCACTTCTGCCCTGCATTTCTTCTCAAGCTGTGTGTGATACCTGGATTCAGGTGTCAGTGTGTTTGTGACCCCTTTGAGTTGAGCAGGCGTCGAAGGGATCACAGGACAGAAACCCCTCTAAGGTAGGCGAGCTTCAGTGCCACTCCATTCTCAGTTCTCTGAAGCTTGCCTGCCTTGGAAGGGCCTCTGCCTTTGCTCTCTAAATTGCTCTGAGAGCTCACTTTCAATCTTCCTTATTATTTCCTCACCTGTAAAAATAATAATATCGTTTCCTCACTAAAAATAATAGTCCCTCCCTCACACAGTTATTATTGTTGTTATTTTCCACGGAAAACACTTAGCTCAGTGCCTGGCACAAAGTGATCTATAAATGTTAGCCTCTGGAAGGGTCCGGAACCCAATTCCAGTGTGGGGGTGGGGCTTTCTTATACCAACGGTGCCCCGGACACCAGCTAGGCGTCCTACAATTCAACTCAATTCTGACACTGTTTATTTGGAGATAGCATCCGTTCCCCAGGTAAAGAGCTCAGTCCCAAAATCTTGCCTTCCTTCCCAGACACCGATGGCAAGCTCAGGTTGTTACCTGTACTTCTGAACGGCGGCCTGTAAGTCAGAGATTCCCAGAACCCCCCCTTTGGGTTCAATTAATTTGCTTGAGTGGCTCACAGAATTTGGGAAAACTCTTTATTCGCTAGATCCCCGGTTTATTATTAAAGGGAACAGCTCAGGAACAGCCAGGGGGAAGAGATGTATAAGGCAAGGTTTGGGGAAGGGTGCAGGGCTTCCCTGCCCCCTCCCAGGATGCCGCTCTCCCCAAACCTCCATACATTCAGCAACCGGGGTGCTCTTGAGACTCTGATCTTTTGTATTTTCATGGAGGCTTTATTACTTAGGCCAAATTGATTAAATCATTGGCCATTGGTGATGGATTCAACCTCCAGTTCCCACTTCTCCCCAGAGGTCAGGGGGCTGGAATGGAAAGTTTCAACCCTCCAATCACTTGGTTCTCAGAGCCACCAGCCCCATCTCTAGGTGCTCTCCCAAAGTCGCCTCATTAACATAATAAAAGCTGCCTTTATTGCAATCGTCCCAGGTGATTCAAAGGGTTTTAGGAACTCTGTGCCAAAAATGGGGACAAAGACCTAATATATATTTCTTAATAAAAGTCACAATATCACAGTCTCTAATAATAAGATAATATTCTTGCCCTCAAAAATCTTATGATGGAGTTTGGTGATTAAGTACACCAATAACTGCAATACAAAAAAAATTAATGAAAATACAACCAAGGATGCTGTGGGAGCTTAATGTAAAGGTATACCCTGCCCCAGAGATTGGTAAATGACAGTGTACGGGCTAAGAATGTTTTTATTTCCCCTACATTTTTAAGTGGTTGACAGGAAATCAAAAGAGTAATGATATTTTGTGACACTTTAAAATTGCAAGTGATGCAAATTTCAGTGTTCATAAATAAAGTTTTACTGGAACACAGCCATGCTCATTCATTTACGCAGCATCTATAGTTTTTTTACGCTACAATGATAGAATTGAGGAGTTGTGACAGACACCATATAGCTCAGGAACCACCCCCCCAAAAAAAAAATTACTTTCTGGTCCTTTGCAGAAAAAATTTGCTGACCCCTGGACTGTTCATTTAGGGTGATGCAAGAAAACTCTCCTGCCAAGGAGGTAAGGATTGGGATGAGCCGTGAAGGGCAGGCAGGGTTTCAGCAGACACAGGACAGAGAAATGTTTGAGGGGGACCACATCATAAGTGACGTCAGAGAACTCGGGAGTGAGGTGCGTGTTCAGTGAGCAGCACATCAATTACTTGGCTAAAGTAAAGAGTGTGCTCACACAAGAAGTTGGAAGGGCAGACTGGGTCCATTCCATAAATTCCTCAAATGCTAAAACAATGCATTTCTTTCTAGTGTGATAAGCAATGGAAATATTTTAAGTGTTTGGGGAGGGGCAGAGGGTGGTTTGGGGTGGCGGAAGTGGACAAATTATAAAACCATAATTCTGCTTTTGCTTAATCTGATAAAATGTGTAGCAGAGGGTGGAAGGGCAGACCAATGAAGTGAGTGTCTATAGTTTTAGCTTTCAGGGAATAATAATAATAATAATAAGGGAATAAGGGAATCATGCTCCAAGGTGGAATTTCAGCCTTTTGGCAGAAGGAGAATCTTTGTCTGAGTTCTCCCTGCACACCCCCTCGGCTACTGCCGCCAGCCACCCCCATTATTCCCTTAGCTCTCCACAGTGATTTAAGCCTTCTGTTGTTTATTCCTGGCTTGCTCGTACACCATGGCGCAGCCAGACTGTACACACACAGGCTGCAGAGGTACCAGGCAGTTTTCCTTTTTTAAGCTCATGAGCTTTTCTTTCTTTTTTTTGTAAGATTTTATTTTTAAATAATCTTTACACCCAACCTGGGGCTTGAATTTACAACCTTGAGATCAAGAGTCACACGTTCAACTGACTGAGCAGCCAGAGGTTCCAGACTCACTGCACTTTTATATGTGACTTTAAACTGTGAGTTCAGCCTAGGTAGAAAGTAGGGAATTATTCTAGCTTGGAGCTGTCCAGTTGCCCCAACTTGAGTTGCCCCAACCACAACGGAAAATGCTTATCAGATTGCCCTGGAATCTTTTATTTTTTTAGATTTTATTTCTTTGTCAGAGAGAGAGAAAGAGAGCCCACAAGCTGGGGGAGTGGCAGGGAGAGGGAGAAGCAGGCTCCCCACTGAGCAGGGAGCCTGATGCGGGGCTCAATCCCAGGACCCTTGGACCATGACCTGAGCTGAAGGCAGATGTTTAGCTGACTGAGC